AGGAAGGGGAAAAGGAGGAGGAAGAGTCACACTCAGATGATGTGAGTACAGTGAGCTACCCTGTCTTTGCTGGCAGCTTAGAGAGGCTAAAGCATTAATACTATCACTCTTCGGTTGTGTATTATAATAGTTCTAAACGTGCAGGCTTCTCAGGAGGGTTCCAGAGAGTTAGAACTCCCTGTCGTTGAATATAAAACTGCATTTGCATGTGCAAATATGCACTTTTTGAGGAGAGGGGCCAGAGTTTTTATCAGAAGATTCTCAAAGGGGTCTTCTTTGCATTCTCTTAGAAGGAATGTGAGGAGCATCCTTTTCATAGATGGGATGTGAACTTGGCCCCCTTTGCTGCTTGTCTAACCTCTGTGTGCTTTCATTACGTGACTGAGAAGTCATCTCTATTTTCTGACCTTGAGTCTGTGGCTTGGACACTAGCTCCCACTCTAATTTCATCAATGAAATAGACATTTCTTCTTCCTCTTTCTCCAAATTTGGTTGTTCATCCATAAAATCAGGAGAGGTGTGATTTTGGAGAAACTTTTCTGTGTGTGCATACTCTGGGTAAAAAATAATTCATCTGTGTCTTCAAAGCTGCCAGCCCAGAGTTGCTAACATCTGTACCACATCCTTAGTATAGTACCATCTGTACTGTTCGCCAGCACCTGTTCTGCAGCAGTGGCTCCTGAGGCCTCTTGGGAGTTTAACTAAGACAGGGACCCCCAAGATTTCAAGCCAGGAGTCATCCTATCATTCGACAAGTCTAGACAGGTAGTTGTACACACAGGCTAGTGCAGGATTCCAGAGACATTCCAAGATCCATTTCCTGCCTTGAAAGAGCCTTAAATCTCCCTGAAGAGAGAGAATCAGCATCTGGAAAGGCTGTATGGTATGGCAACCTGGGTTTGAACACTGGCTCTGCCACTCTCTTGGTGTATTATTTTGGGCAAATCACTTTACTCCTCTGAACCCAGGTCTCCTCATTTGTAGAACGGGAATGATGGTACTCACCTCACAGTGTTGTTGGGGTGATCAAAGGAGCTAAGTTATGAGAAAGGCCTGACACACAGTAGACAATAGGTTGTCTTAGTTGTTATCCCCTTTCTTTACGACATAATGTGTGGAGGCCTAAACAGTGTGTACCGATTACCTCCAAAGTGAGGAGTTTGGAGACCAGCAAGAGTGCTGTGGGCCTCTGTGTGGGGGCTTCGTGTAGGACTGTAGAACTTGAGGGATGAGGATTTACTAGGTGAAGAAGAGAAGGTGGTAGGAGAGGAGGGCAGATATTTCCAGCAGGGGAAACAACATGGCCAGAAGCACAGAGGTTAAGAGGGAGTCAGGCTTCGGGGAAGGCGCCAGGTATGTTGAGACACGAGGGATGGAGAGATGTGTTGGGCAAGGCCTCTAGGGCCAAATATGTGCTGCTTCTAAGAGAAATTTGGAAGAATGGAGCTGAGGGCCTGGCTCACGGGCTTCCTGGGCCCTGAGCTGCCCTCCTTGCGGGCATGAGGTCAGGAGGCTGGACAGACAGGTCACCTCTCCTCACCTTCTCCAAGGATGACGACCGGGGTGAAGAGTGGGAGCGTCATGAAGCACTGCATGAGGATGTGACCGGGCAGGAGCGCATCACCGAGCGGCTCTTTGAGGAGGAGATCGAACTCAAGTGGGAGAAGGGCGGCTCCGGCCTGGTGTTCTACACAGACGCCCAGTTCTGGCAGGAGGAAGAAGGAGGTAATGCTGGCACCCAGACCAGGGCAGGAGTGATCCCTGGTGCATTGGGTCAGGGTTCTCCATTCCACATGGTGGGTTCTTTGGAAGCAGTGAGGCCAAATAAAGGGCTAGCAAAGAGGCTTTCCTTGCTTGTGTGAGAGACCAGTCATCCTTTTTAGGGGTGGGGGATCAGTGGAGTGGAGAAAAAATGACCCCCCCGCCCCTGTAAATTCTGAGTGACCCACCCAGGAAAGATTTAAAAATACAATGAAAAGCCCCAAGTTCTAGAACATAGGTCTTAGTTTAGATTTAACTCTCAACAGAACTGTGAGTCCTTCGCTGACTCTGTTTGACCTCTCTGCAGACTTTGATGAACAGACAGCCGACGACTGGGACGTGGACATGAGTGTGTACTACGACACAGGTACTGGGCCAGGGCTTGCAGTATGGGGACGGGGAGCTGGTCCTCTGGCCTTGCAGTGACACTTTACCAGGCCTGCTTAGCAGAGATGGGACCAGTTCCCTTGGGGTCGGCCACTGAGAGGGTTCCTCTCTTCAAACATCTCCACTTGTGTGCATCAAGTGCTGGTTGTGGGCAGAGCCTTTTTCCTTTTTTTCGTGGAGTCAGCCCTCAGGGGGCTCTGGTTCTGGTGGGCAGGCCCTGGTAGAATGGGAGGGCCAGGAGCTCAGGCTCTGGTTAAGAGTTTAGATTCTGGAGTCAAAAATGACCTGGGTGAGGGGAGGGTGAGAGGGAAAGACCTGGGTTCTAATTCCACTTCTCATCTTTTGGCTCTATGACTTTTCTGTACCAGTTTGCTCATCTGGGAAAGCCAGGGTCCCTATTCCAATAATAATAAAATACTAAAACACCAGGGACGCGTGGGTGGCTCAGTCATTTGAGTGTCTGCCTTCAGGTCAGGTCATGATCCCGGGGTCCTGGGATCGAGCCCGGAGTCGGGCTCCCTGTTCAGCGGGGAGTCTCCTTGTCCCTTTCCCTCTACCTCTCCCCCCTGCTCATGCTCTATTAAATAAATAAAAATTTTTAAAAAATTAATAAAACACCCTAAAGATGAATATGTAAATATTGTGAGGAGGTCCTAGAAATCTGGTTTTTTTCCCCCTTTCTGCTGAGACCCTTCTGCAAACTGAGCTCTGCTTCCTCAGATGGTGGAGACAAGGATGCCCGAGACTCTATCCAAATGCGTCTGGAACGGAGACTCCGTGATGGCCAGGAGGACAGCTCTGTGATCAAATGCCAAGTGGGCACCTTTGAGCGCCACACCAAGGTAAGCACTCTGCCTAGCCCATTCACCCCTCTTTTCCTTCTCTATCCCCATTCCTCCCCCGCCCCACAAGGAACCCCATACTCTTGAGTCTTCTCTCTTCCCTGCACAGGGCATTGGACGGAGGGTGTTGGAGCGGCAGGGCTGGGCTGAGGGCCAGGGTCTGGGCAGTCAGTGTTCAGGGGTGCCTGAGGCCCTGGATAGTGATGGCCAGCACCCTAGATGCAAGCATGGATTGGGGTGAGTATGACCAAGGGACTTCCCTGGGGGACCCAGCTAGCCTTTCATCTGTACCCTGGTTTCCCCCTTCCCTCTGATTTTGGGATGGGTGCTAGAGACTCCTAGGGGATGAACTTCAAAGCAGAATTAGAAGGAAAAGGTAGGTCTGGCACTATTTTTTTGGACCAAGCCCTAAGGCTTAACAGGATCATTAATCTTTGGGGGAGTCATACCCCCTGGTCTGAGGAGTTTGGACTTGATGATTGCCGTTAGGGAGTGCTTGTAAGTCACAGTTTGCTGACAGTTGTTCTAAACTCTGTGTACTATTTAAAATGAAAGCAGTGAGGGGCACCTGGGTGGCTCAGTCGTTAAAATGTCTGCCTTCAGCTCAGGTCATGATCCCAGGGTCCTGGGATCGAGCCCCACATTGGGCTCCCTTCTCCGCGGGAAGCCTGCTTCTCCCTCTCCCACCCTCCTGCTTGTGTTCCCTCTCTCACTGTGTCTCTCTCTGTCAAATAAATAAATAAAATCTTAAATAAATAAAATGAAAGCAGTGTGAGACCCCAGGTTGCTGGCACTGTCAGTGAATAGATAAGGAGGCTGAAAAGCAAAGATCCAGATTTAAAGGCTGTCTTTGGGACAAATGCTTCTCTGTCCTTTCCCAACCTATTAAAGAGTTTGATTGAGAGCAGTCCTCTCACTGTGAGCTCTTTTTAATGCAGGTACCACGGAGAGAAGCTACAGCCATTTGGGCAACTGAAGAGGCTCCGTGGAACTGGCTTGGGGCTCATCTCCACCATCTATGATGAGCCCCTACCTCAAGATCAAGGGGAGTCGCTGCTCCGACGCCAGCCACCCACCAGCATGAAGTTTCGGCCAGATGTGGCCTTTGTGAGGAGTTCCAGCTGTGCCTTGGACAACCCCTCAGAGCCTGAGTGACAGTTTCGAGGCCTTCCTCAGTATCACTCATAACTGCACAGTGGCAGCCCACTGCCTTGGCCTTATCTCCCACCACAGCCTAAAGAATTTTGGGAACAGCAATCTGTGCAGCTTGTTCAGGGTGCTTTATTCTGAACTTGCCTTCTGGCTCTCTACCTCAAGGGCATTTTCCCCAAAGCCCCCTTGCCTCCTCTTTTAATATTAGGGCTTAATGACCTCTCACTGGTTTCCCATCCCCAGTCCCTGTTTGGGCTTGCCCATGTTGCCTCGCCCAGTACCTTGAACAGCTGTATTGACTGGAGTTCTCAGCACAAACTTCGTTGGTTCGGGGATGGGGGATGTCGCTATAAAGGTCAAAAAGAAGGGGTAGTGGACCTGGAAGAGGGGAGGACTCGTGGTGCTAGTAAGACACGATCTTGGGGCGGGCGCTCCATCGCCTCCTCCCCTCACTGGCTGGGACCGGGAGCGGCAAGGCCGTGCGGGAGGTGGCCCGGGTCTGCGACCTACCGGGAGAATAAAGAAGCTTACTACCGGAGTTCCCTTTCTATCTTCTAATTTGGGCCGGGGGACGGTCGGGAAAATCTGGGTTAGAGTTGCCCACCCCACCGCAGTGCCGCACGCAGACTCCAGTCCCCCGCTCGGGTAGAACCGCTCGCCACGCCCCCCGACGCCGAGCTGCGCCTCCATCGGGAGGGCGGGACTTCCTCTCAGGGCCCCCGCCATTTCCGACGTCGTCCGGAAGTCCGGTGCCGGTCCGGTTAGTAACGGGCCATTTGGTCCCCTTGCACAGCCCAGGCACCTGCACTTCCTCAGGGGACGCCCGGGCATCGCCGCCAGCCCCTGAGATCCACCGCCGCTCTCGGCTCGTGTCTCTGCTGAGCTTATCTGCCCGTGCCGCCCATGGCGGGGGTCGCCACGACCACGGCCTTTGGGCAGGCCGTGATCGGCCCGCCCGGCTCGGGGAAGACCACGTACTGCCTGGGCATGAGTGAGTTCCTGCGCGCGCTGGGCCGGCGCGTGGCGGTGGTGAACCTGGACCCGGCCAACGAGGGGCTGCCGTACGAGTGCGCCGTGGACGTGGGAGAGCTGGTGGGCCTGGGCGACGTGATGGACGCGCTGCGGCTGGGGCCCAACGGCGGCCTGCTGTACTGCATGGAGTACCTGGAGGCCAACCTGGACTGGCTGCGGGCCAAGCTAGAGCCCCTCCGCGGCCACTACTTCCTCTTCGACTGCCCGGGCCAGGTGGAGCTCTGCACGCACCACGGCGCCCTGCGCAGCATCTTCTCCCAGATGGCGCAGTGGGACCTCAGGGTGCGTCTTGGTTCGAGAAGGCTCCTTTTGCAGATGGAGGAACTGGGACAGGGAGGACAGATGCCACGCCCCCATGTCACACAGCGAGGTAGGGGCCGAGTTGCTTTGGAGTAAAGCTGGTGTGAGTTCGAATTCATGCTCTGCCACTGACTCGCTGTGTGGGCCTGGGTAAGTTAGTTTCTCTCTCTGAGTTTCAGTTCTTTCATCTGCAGAATGGATGTGCTAGTACCCAATTTGGGATTATTGGAAGTATGGAACGGGTTATGTAGAAAGTGGTATGGTGATTTTTTTTTTTTTAAGATTTTATTTACTTATTTGACAGAGAGAGACACAGCCAGAGAGGGAACACAAGCAGGGGGAGTGGGAGAGGGAGAAGCAGGCTTCCCGCCAAGCAGGGAGCCCGATGTGGGGCTCGATCCCAGGATCCCGGGATCATGACCTGAGCCGTAGGCAGACGCTTAATGACTGAGCCACCCAGGCGCCCCGGTATGGTGATTATTGTTGTGACTTGCTGGGCAAAAGTAAATGAAATAGAGTCAGATGCAATCAGAATTGAGCTAGTTGCCCACTGGGAGGCACGGTGCAAGGCATCTTGTAAGTAAAAATGCTCCATATCTCCTGGCAGAAGGAAATGAGTGTCGCTATTAGAATGAAGCAGAAGCAGGAGGACACTAGGGGAAGGCTTGCAGTCTGTCCTCAGGAGTCCCCAGCCTTTGGGGAAAGACATAGGCCGTGATGTTTCCCGCCTCCCCAGGCCACTCACCCTGTCTCTTCCTCCCTTTCCAGCTGACTGCTGTCCACCTGGTGGATTCTCATTACTGCACAGACCCGGCCAAGTTCATTTCTGTACTGTGTACCTCTCTGGCCACCATGCTGCATGTGGAGCTGCCCCATGTCAACCTCCTCTCCAAGATGGACCTCATTGAGCACTATGGGAAGCTGGGTGAGAGCTCCTATTCTGTACAGGCAAGGAGAAGGGTGCAGATCTCAGCTGAAGGGAGCTGCTTCCAGGGACCATGCATGTTGGTGATCATAGCCACAGGCAGGTCCTGATTCCTGCCTGTTTATTTTGTGCCACTCTGGGCCAGATACTGTTCTGGGTTTTGGGGACAAGAGAGCTATATAGTTGGTGATATGTACTGCAAAGGAATTAAAACAAAATGAGTCGTTGGGAGTGAGTAGCACTGCTACTCAGTGAGCAACGCTATCTGAGCTGAGACCCGAATGGTGAGAAGGAGTCAGCCAAGGCAGGACTGTTCTAGGCGGAGGGACCAGTAGGAGAAAAGGCCCTTAGGGAAAGAGTTTTTTGTGTTAAAGGAAAAAGTGGGGGTGGGGGGGAAGCCTAGGGTGGCTGAGGTAGTAGTCAGAGGAAGGGTGGTAGGAAATGAAGTCAGAGAGGTGGGCAGGGGCCAGAACCTGTAATGTTGAAGCACCAGGGAAAGCCATTGATGAATATTAAGCAAGGAAATAGCATGAATTAAGAACGTCATTGTGGCTGTTTTGTGGAGAATGAATTGAAACGGGTAAGAATGCAAACAGAGATCCCTGAGGAGGTTTTTGCAGCAGTCCAAACAGTGGTAGTGAGAATGGAGAGAAGTAGATCGATCCAAAACTCACTCAAGAAATAGGGTTTGCTAGTGGATTGGGCACGGAGACGAAGGAATTAAGGATGACTCTCAGGTTTCTGTCTGAGCTAATGGACAGATGGAGGTGCCTTTGTCAGGGTGCGAAAGACTGAGGCAGAAGCAGGAGGCAGGGGAGTTGCCTAGGGCCCTCATGGCCCACACTCCTGCAAAATTAGTGCGCTGAGCTGGGGGCATCAGTTCTCTAAATAGCATCTCCAGCCACAAAGGAACCTGGAGAAAAAAAGCTGAAATGACCAGCAGTGAACAGGAAGAAATGTTGTTAGGATCACGATGTGTCAGGTCGTTGTCCAGGGAGGCCTGCTGGCTGTCAGTCAGGACATGGAGGGATGTCAGCATCTTGGAGGGGCTGCCTCAGCCCAGAGTCTTGGTCCATCTCTTGGTAGGCCCAGAAGCCCCGTTTTATCTATGCCCACAGTCTTCCCAAGCCCCTCTCCCCGCCCACCTTCATGGCCTCCAGCCCAGATGGCTACGTGGTGATCCTTGACCTTTCTGCCTCTGACTCTTGCCAGTCATCCTTATAAGAGACTGATGTGCAAACCAGATGAGGCCACTGAGACCCAGAGACATTATATGAATAGCCCAAGGTCAGTCACACAGCTAGTATATTAGCTGAGATGCAATCCAAACCCAGGTGCACCAGGCTCCAATTGCTTAATTCCTGGGGAAGAATGTACCTGTCAGGCAATCCAAGAAGTCTGTAGGAATGCCCGGGACATAATTCCTTGCAGGCAGAGGGGTGACAGTTTCTGATGGAAGACAGGAGACAGAGGGGCGCCTGGCTGGCTCAGTTGGAGGAGCATGTGACTCTTGATTTTGGGATTGTGAGTTTGATCCCCACGTTGGGTGTAGGGGGTGAGTCATTCAATCCAACAGCCTAATGATTGCCTTGGCTTGCTCTGGGACGGACCAGTTGAGTAACCCGAGTGCTCGAGTTTTCCAGCAGAAATGGACAGTGCTGGGAGGCCCACTTTCCTTCTCTTAGAGGAAGTTTGCATTCCTAGAACTTGGAGTCATCTAGTCTGGTGTCCTCATTTTACATTCAGAAGGAGCTGGCCCAGAAAGGGAAAGTGATTTACACCAGAAGTGCCCTGCTAGAGTCCTTACAGTGCATGTGCCGGGTCCTGGGGGTCCGACTACCTGACCCTGAACTCCATGTGGCAGGGACCCAGCACTGTTCTCGGGACACATTCGATCTTATTATTTCCTACCATGGAGCAAGTGCTTGTGTGTACCAGACCCTGGGACTTAGAGCATATAATCCTCACAGCAGTCCCGTCTAGCTAGTAAGTGGCAGAGCCAGTGGGTAAAACCAAGTATTTTCTTTTGAGTAAGTTCATTTCACTGCCTCAACAAATATTTGTTGAATGAATGAATGAAAATAAAAGGAAGAAAGAAAGGAAATACGGTCCCTGTCCTTGGATCTTTTAGCCTCATATCAGCTGCTCCTAAACACCAATTTCTCTCCTTAGCTTTCAACCTGGACTACTACACAGAGGTCCTGGACCTCTCCTACCTGCTTGACCACCTGGCTTCTGACCCTTTCTTCCGCCACTACCGTCAGCTCAATGAGAAACTGGTGCAGCTCATTGAAGACTACAGTCTGGTCTCCTTCATCCCTCTCAACATTCAGGTACTGGGAACTAAGAGGCCTAGCCCTCGCCTAGGCTCTGACAGTGCCTGGGATCTCACTAAGCCAAGGGTACAAGAGGCTTTGAGGGGTCAAACAGGGGTCTTTGTCCTGGGTCTAACTATCATTCAGTCCCCTTGGTTTTAGGACCAGTGGCTCTCATGGGCAGGATTCCAATAAAGAGGGTGGGCCAAACTTTGGCCCTGTCTATTCTGTATCGCTAGGTTGTCTCAACACATGTTCCCTCATCAGTGTGAAAATGGGTGATTTCAGAAAGTCGTCAGCAAGGGACGTGACCAAGGCCAAAGACAGGTCTCTCAGCCTCCTTCAGGATGGGCAATTCCCTGTTGACTTTACAAAGTAGTACCCAGCCCCTGTGTGGACATGAGCAAACTTGTCTGTTTCCTATTTAATGCCACAATTTTCTCCTCTAAAATGAGAAACTCAAACCCTACAATATTAATCATAACAACTACCACTTACTGAGCACTTTCTGTGCTAGGCATTGTGCTGAGGACTTGTACATGCATTATTCTGATCTCTCCTTGCCATCACGGGACGTAGAGACTATTCTTATCACTATTCTGAGAATGAGCAAATAGATTATATACATGTTTATTGGGTGTGCCTACTCTCAACTAAGGACTGTGCCAGGCCCTGAGGATTACCTCTACAAATAAGTCCCTGACCTCAGGGGGTATAAAGTCAAATAGGGGAGGCAGATGAGTTCATGACTTGTCAATAGTAAGCTGGTAGGATCAGAGCTGTAATAGGATAGCCCCAGGGGACCATGGGTGTGCACAGAGGAGCTTATCTGTTCCGATTTGGGTGGGTTGGTGGACAGGAAAGCTAGGATGTAGCCATGCCTCTGGGGACATGTAGAGCTCCTCCAGGCGCAGAAGCTGCACGTCCAGAGGCTTCGTGAGGCAAGGTCGAGGGGGATGTTTGGAGACTGCTTGTGGTTTGGTACAGCCTCAGTTCCACATGCCTCTGTTTCACTCACAGAGCTGTCTCTCTCCTCCCTGGCCAGGACAAGGAGAGTATCCGGCGGGTCCTGCAGGCTGTGGATAAAGCCAACGGCTACTGCTTCGGGGTCCAGGAACAGCGAAGCCTGGAGGCCATGATGTCTGCCGCCGTGGGAGCCGACTTCCATTTCTCCTCGTATCCTTGCTCTCTAGCCTCTTGGCCACAGCCAAGGGGGAGACGTGGGGCTCAGGAATGGCCACATCTACCCTTGTGGATGACTACTTCCATGATGACTGGTTGGGCTCCTTGGTGACTGTCTCTCAGGTGCAGAGGCTGGTCCCCTAGAAGCCTTCAGCATTGCTTGTATCTGAGGACAAGGGAGGGTATACTGATTAGAAGGAGCAGCAAATACAGATGCTGAGTATTGAAAGGGCAGTGGTCGTTTGGGAGAGATGTGAGGGCCTCAATGTGCTTGGCGTCCTGACTGGGAAAGGGAAAGGGGATGTAGGGGGGCAGGGGCAGTAGAAGGCAGGCAGCGGGGGGCCTGGGTGCCCTGCTAAGGAGTGGGTGGCCCTCAGCTTGTGGGTGGGCAGTGGGAACCAGCATCGTATGGTTGTGCAGAGTGTGACGTGATCAGGCATACATTTTTTAAAAGCCCCTCTGAGTGAAGAAATTGCATTTAAGGGATGTGAGTGGGGGCAGGAGAGTGTTTACAGTCTGTAGATGAGAAGAGATGAAACATGAGTAGTGAGAATGGAAAGAAGGATGTGAATTGGATACAAGGAGATGGACCACCGACTGGATGGTTATGGGATAACTGGAGGTAGAGCAGAAGTTCAACTCCCAGTTCTGGCTAATACAGTGGTATGGGTGGTTGTGTTGGTCACTGAGGCAAGAAAAGAAGGGGAGAGGGTAGGTTTGTCACATGGGTGGAAGGGATGGGCCCTGGCAGATGTGCTGTGTTGGAGGGGACCATGGGGACAGCCAGAGCTGTCTGGGAGGCAGCTGGACCTTCAGAACTGGAGCTGGATTAGTGACCGTTGGGGTCGACCTAAGGTCATGTGTAGGTGCCTATCAGGTCACAGAGGCCCCTGTGAGGCAGGACAGGGAAATGCAGGCCCACTAGGATAGTTCCAGATATTTGACATCTACGCAGTATGCTGGAGACCACGGGGGCTCCAGAGTCCTTGGCATGGAGGAAGAGAATTCCAGCCAGTACTTACGGATCTGTGTCAGGCCCTTTCACAGGGGGGAAACCAAGCTCCCAAGTTCTCAGGGAAACAGACACGTTATAAATGGTGGCAGTAGAGTGCTCAGTGCTTGATGAAGGGGTTGAGTTGCTACCTCACACTTGCAGTTACTGTCAGCAAGTTCAACTGCGTGTGCTCAGCAAGAAAGAGAAGGGGCAGTTTCAACAGCACTGTGAGTTTTTGCACGCGGTGCATTACGTTATATATTCATACACGTTACCATGCAGGATTCTATTTATCCGACTGTGTATACTCTTTAGTAGATGATTTGAGGAATTTTCACGGATATTTTTTAATCTACACATTTGTGCTGATTTTAGATTCTGCCACCTCTCCTAATCCTCTTAAGGTTCAACTTCACTCTAGGTAGAAGATGATTAAGGATTGGTATAGAGAAGGGGGAAGTTAGCTCTGCCAGTGAGTGGGGAGATAAAGAAAGCTTCATGGAGGTGGCGGCACTTGAGTTGCATTATCTTAAAGTGAGGGGCAGCCAGGCTGATGGAAAGGGAAAGGGACTTCAAGGCAGAGAGAACAGTATATACAGAGGCATGGCAGTTCAAGGCTGAGGTACGTCTGGGGGGTTGCAAGTAGAATAGCGTGACTTGTGGGCAGGACAGGGCTTTGCCTGGGAGCAGATATAGGGCCAGACGGATGGGCAGATAGATGCAGGGTTTCTTGTGCCCTGCTCAGGAATGTGGACGTCAGGTTGGAGACAAGGCAAGTGTGAGATTATTGCATGTCAAGCAGGATGGATTCCGCTCATCCTGAGTGACCCACAGGGCCGACTTCCACAGGAACAAGGCATTACCTCCTGAGGAAGAGTGAAGTGGAAGGGGCGCAGGTTCCAAGTCAGTTTGAGTAGAGGTGAGATGGATTTTGGTGGCTGGATCCATAAGAGATGGGAAAGAAAGTCTGTAACCTGAACATCATTTGGTGGACTACGTACCCTGCTTGCAGGATCTCGTTTAAACCTCATTCAGTCCCTTCTTGCAGACGAGGCAGTTGGGGCTCTGAGAGTGACAGGTGCAAGGCTTTCTCCCTGGATGTGTTAGAAGAACAGTTCAAACCTCAGTCTCCCTGGTTGTAGAATCTCAGTTTCTGATACTGGAGTCATCTAGTAGAAGAGCCATGGTGGCCATCTTCCCACGGTCAACGGCCATCTCCTCCTCAGGCCAGCCAGACTCCCAGGGCGTCCTCAGCAGTATCACAGTGTTTTCCTTTGTGAATCTGATTTGTATACTTCCCATTCTTCCCTGCTGTTCCAGAGAGAGGTAGAAGCTACCCAATAGCCCAAGTGGAAATTTGTTATCTTTGTGCTTCCCTGAGTTCCCTCCCACGGCAGAAAAGAAGTCAGAAACCCTTACTACGCACGTGCTGTGTGCCAGGCGCCATACTAGGTATTTTGTATTCATTGTCTCATTTGATCCTCACAACAACTCCATTTTACAGACGAAAAGAAAGGAAGTGGCAAAATCAGGATTTAAACCCCCAATGGTCTGGCTGGAGAGCATGTGCCCTAGCACAGCCAGGAGGGTTCGTGCTTCTCTGGTCCTTTGAGCCTCAGCAGTGTGGGAAGAGGCAAATACGGGAGCATTTGGGTTTGGATGTTTGAAGGGGCTTCTCAGACCCGATTGGTTCCTGTTGCCTGGAGCTATAATGGTGAGAAAGGGAGAGGAATGGGAGCCAGACATGGTTGTAGAGCCAGCATCCGTAGAGGTCAGATCCTGCCCTGATCAGTGCCCATCCTTGCCTATGCTCCCAACCTTGACACAGCCTCCCTCAGTACCCTGGGCATCCAGGAGAAGTACCTGGAACCCTCAGACCAGTCGGTGGAGCAAGAAGCCATGCAGCTGTAGCAGCAGGCTGGAGAACAAGAGGCATAACCCAGCACTGGAGAACGTGGCAGCTCCCAGTGACAGTGGACAGCTCAGTGGACTGCAGATCCAAGAGCAGTCTTCCCAACCAGAGCAGAGCATCCACCACCCCCTCCGTGGTCATGAGCTCTTGGTGCTGTTGCCGGGGATTCGGGGCTGGCCCCACTTGGGCTATGATGGAATATGCTACAAATACAAGAGTTTATTTTCTACTTTTCGTGACTTCTAAACTTTCTCCAACCATCCAGGCCCAGAGAGTTGAGGCAGAACAAGGGAATGTTGTCTTCCCTCAGAAGAGTCCCATTTCTTTCTCTGGGGTAGTGTTTCCCCCAAAGCACGGGATTGTGCTAGAGGACTGACACTCAGTCTCTGGTTGTACAATTTGGTTAATTGTCAGTTTTAGGAGTGAGACTCAAGCTTGAGCTTTCACAGGCAACGCTTCCTAGCCGATCTGAACGTTTTGTTTTCATGGTATTTATTTTTACAGTTGTATTCCTTTTTGGCAAGTGTTAACTAGTTTTCCATTTATACGAGTGGTTAAAAGTTTACTTTGAAATTGTTGATAAAAAGTGAGTTATTTAAAGAAAAATATTAAGTATATAACATGACATCATGAGGAGTGTGGCAAAAATGAAGATGGCTTGAAGTTGGAATAGCGTTTGCTTTTTGCTCTTCTTGCAACTGGTTGAATGCAGTTCATATTTTCGACCAATAGGTGGCAGCCCAGGCTTTTTTTCTTTTTTTCTTTTTTTTTTGCTGCCACAGCCTGGGGACAGATGGCAGTTGTGCCAGAAGTCTTATTTGCAGACAGTTGGTCCTGTTAACACATGAGAAGGGCTTGGCATTTTACAAAGTACTTCCACACACATGCTTCTCCTGTGGCTCTCACAGCAACTCCTGGAGATTGAGACAAGACAGAATATTATGAAGGCTCATTTTACAGTGAGGCAACAGATGAGGAGTTTGAACTTTGGTCAGCCTGGCTGTCTCATTGTTCACTTTGCTGACTTCTTAATTGTGAATTCTTGATGGTGAAAAGTCACAGCCCTTCTCCCACAGGATCTGTAGCCCATCAGGAAGAAGAATTTAAACACCTGTAGAATATTACTGAATCATAAATCAGGGGGACGCTAGGTCACTGGTGGTTTGGGCAGTTGGAGAATTCAACTTAGGAAAATCTGTTCTGAAGTGGCATTGAGATGGGGGCGACTGGGCTTTGCTTCCCAGTTTGGGGAGTCAGAGCAGAAGGAAGAAGAGTGAGGGGGAATGAGGAGGCTCCTCCAACTGGGTAAGTATGAAAGCCGCCGACCTCCACTCCCACGCCTGGCCATATCGGGGATAATAACTAGGTGCTGCTTCCCCAGCTGCTTTCATCTGAGAAATTCAAAGCACCACACCCCTATTAACACCCTACAGTAGGTGGGGAGTATCAAACAGAGCAAGCCAGGGAAACTGAGGCCAGGAGGCACAGCCTGGGGACGGCTGAGTCAATGGTGGGGCCTGGAGCCCAAGAATCCTGACGCCCAGGTTGCTGGACAAATCCCTCATCAGGTAGGGTGTGAGGGTGGATGCTGTTTTTGAACATAGTACCAATAGCTGTGGTCAGGGCTTCTGACGCTCACCCCATCACCCTGGCTCTCACCAAAGCAAATCAGCTGGAAGGAAGGTGTCATTTAAACTTTATGGCCTCGTATCCAAGCCCTCTCAGGGAAGCATTCTCTGCAGTCATAGAGTGGGGAGAGATGGAAGTCATCCAAAACTTAATTTTCAGGCCTTGGTGTGACAGCAGGGCTGTTTTGTCCTCCGGTAAATGGAGCTCTGTTCACCTTTGGTGATGGCAAAATGATTCTGTTCCCCTGCCATGGTGTGGGGACAGCACAATGCAGAAAAGAAGAGACACCTGGGTCTGTCTGTTCAGCATGAAACATGTGGGGTATGAGAAAGACCATCCTCCGATTTGGCTGGCATGGGGCAACCATTCTTGAGATTTTTTTTTCTTTCCTGATAGAAAAGTAAAAAACTTGGGAAATGAAGTCACCTATAATCCCGTAACATATGAATAATCAAAAATATTTGTAGGGGCTCCTGGGTGGCTCAGTCCGTTAAACATCTGCCTTTGGCTCAGGTCATGATCCCAGGGTCCTGGGATGGAGCCCCTGCATTGGGCTCCCTGCTCAGTGGGGAGCCTGCTTCTCCCTCCCCTGCTGCTCCCCCTGCTTGTGCTCACTCTCTCTCTCTCTGACAAATAAATCTTTAAAAATTTTTTTTTCGGGGCGCCTGGGTGGCTCAGTCATTAAGCGTCTGCCTTCGGCTCAGATCATGATCCCAGGGTCCTGGAGTTGAGCCCTACGTGAGGCTCCCTGCTCAGTGGGGAGTCTGCTTCTCCCCCTCCTTCCCCCTAGTGTTCTCTCTATCTCTATCTCAAATAAATAAATAAATCTTTTTTAAAAAAAAGAAATGTGAATATGCTATCTGGAAAGAATGACACATTTCATGAAAAATAAAATTTTATATTCAAATGTTGAATACATTTTGTGTTTTTCTTTCAGTCTTATTTTTCTGTACGTGCAGAGGGATAGCTATGGCATTTGTATGAGCGTGGAATATGTACTGCTTACTTTGTAATCTGCTTTTTTTAGTTAACCCTATTTCATGCAATTAAAAGCATAAAGACCCGTTTAAGGTCTACATGATAATATTCCATGGTAAGGCTATGACATTGGTTACCTGTCCAGACTCCCATGGTTAGCCTAAGTCATTACCAATTTTTTGCTCTTGCTAATAATGCTGTGATTACACCTTTGTACTCAAATCTTTGAGTCTCTGATTTTTAACTTACGATTAAGTCGTAGAAATGAAACAGCTGATGTTTCCCAGGTTCTGGATTCATACTGCCAAAATGCCTTCCAGAAAAGTAGCACTTTGCATCTCCCAGGCACTGTCTGAAAGCCGTCTTCTCACTTCCAGACCTCACTTTGGCAATTATGACCAACTTCTGGAAGGAGGAAACCATCTGAGTGCCTTAGAAGGGACCTTCTTGGTCACCTCTGCTAACCACTGATGTTAGGATATGTGCATTTCCTGGCTCTGAAGTGGGGACCTCCCCCCAAAATTGGAAGATACTGTTTGGAACTTACCAGAGGCCACAGCTAATTGGACAGGCTTCCAGCCCAGACAAAGAGGCTTAGGAGTGAAAGTGATGCCCTAAAACCCACAGAGCTGAAGCACAGCCAGTCTGCTCTCAGCTGTTCCTGAAGTAGCAAAGTGCTCACCCACCTCCAGAAAGGAAGCCTGATCCCATTAGAGTCTGTGGGAAGGTCTATCTCAGAGATTCTCTCTCCTTTCCCAGGGCTCCTGAGAAGGGGAGGGGAGTGATGGCAGACCCAGCCCAGCACGACTAAGATCCACCCTGTTTTTAAAATTTTTGAAAGCGGGCACCTGGGTGGCTCAGTTGGTTAAGCGACGGCCTTCGACTCAGGTCATGATCCTGGAGTCCCGGCATTGAGTCCCGCATGGAGTCCCGCATCGGGCTCCCTGCTCAGCGGGGAGTCTGCTTCTCCCTCTCCCGCTCCCCCCTCTTGTGCTCTCTCTGTCTCTCTCAAATAAATAAAATCTTTGAAAATAAATAAAATTTTTGAAAGCAATAGGGAGACCCAACTACCCCAGAATCCTGGAGGGAAATTCTCTAGCAAGCTGAGTAGCCCCTACTCCTTTCCCTTTACTTTTCTTCTCTCTCATCCCTGGCTGTTGAGCCCTCAGCCCTTAGAATTCTAGAGTCTGGATTAGCACATACTCCAGTGGCATCAGGCCTGCTGAGGGTAGGGGAAAGCCATACGCCTCATTTCCAGCCCATTGTGTCCTTCATTTCCAGCTAAGGATCCAACTTCAGGCAGCCCCAGATGTCCAGGTGGCCTGAGACTGAGGAGCTATGAGGGGATGGGCTGGGGATTTGGAGCCCAAATGAGGTGAGAAAATATGAGTATTGGTAAAATCCTCTGGACCAGAATACATAGCGAAGTTTTGATTTTTTTTTCCCCATCCAAAACCTTGAAGCGGTTGAGGGAAATGAGAAGCCCCTTTCCTAAATAAATCTGCAGCTATCTTGCTTCAAGAATCTGAAATCAGGGGCGCCTGGGTGGCTCAGATGGTTAAGCGTCTGCCTTCGGCTCAGGTCATGATCCCAGGGTGCTGGGATCGAGTCCCGCATCAGGCTCCCTGCTCCTTGGGAGCCTGCTTCTCCCTCTGCTTCTCTCTCTCTCTCCGTCTCTCAAGAATAAATAAATAAAATCTTTAAAAAAAAAAAATCTGAAATCAGGTTTTCCCAAAAACGTACTGGACATTTGGATATTGGAAGGGTGTGTGTGTATGTGTATGTGTATGTGTGGGGGGAATATCTGCTTGCTGTGCAAATACAGCATCAAGAAATGTTCCCTTATGCTCCCCTTCACACTGGATTCCCACCTCTTTCTGTACATTAATCCCGAAGACTTCACAGTCGTGGAATGATCAAAACAGTGGAGAAGGAATACTGGAACATGGGTAAGATTTCTCCCAACTTTTTTTTTTTAAGATTTTATTTATTTACTTGAGGGGGAGAGGGAGAGGAAGAAGCAGACTCCCCGCTGAGCAGGGAGCCTGAGATCATGACCTGAGCCCAAGGCAGATGCTTAGCTTAGCCAACTGAGCCACTCAGGCGCCCTTCTCCCAACTCTTCAGTCATACCCGTGGTCACATAGCCTATTCTGAGCTAAACGTCAGGCCCCTATACAGTTAGGATAGTTCAGGTTAACTTTATTTGGGGGAAGAAGGTGAGGGTATTCTCTTATTTGGTGGGGGTATTCTCTTATTCTCTTTATTTGGGGGAAGAAGGTGGGGGTAAAAGAGTATTTCTCTTTTAACAAATACAGCTTGAATGTCATAATCTGATGTATTCAATATTATACCTAGCCACAGATTGAAGGCTCCATGCTTTTCAGAGTCTGGAATTTCCTCTTTTATCTCTAGACAGATAATGAGTTAAATTTCCCAGAGAGCAGTAAGAAGATTGGGTGGAGATGAGAGATGAATCAGCCTCTGACACCCCCAGGGTGACATACCTGTCTGCTGCCCCCACAGACATTCCTGGCTCCTGACTCAGTGGGTAGGTGGGGCTAGGGGGGTTCTGAGAGGAGCAGCACCTACTCTCCAGAAACCTGCTTCCCTACCTCTACCTCCCCCACAGCAAGGATAGGGGATGCGGGG